CCCCCCATATGTACACGAAGCTATTAGTGCTTCTTCTTCCCCTTTGCATCGTTTGGACATGCATGCTCTGCGGCTAGCTGTTGCCGTTTAGTGCGTATTACCTACTCGTACATTGGTAGCTTCGAAGACTAGCAGCCGTATAAGAAAAAGCCATGGGGATATACTTCGTATTGGTCGATGGCATCAGCTGTTCTATTACTCCGGCGCCCATTCATATGCAGCACCAATAACTCCGTGCCAGTCAGAAATCACGACATTAACCGAGTCCGCTTCCCCACCCCCACTCTCTCTCTCTCTCTATCTCTATCTTTTCTCTTGTTGTTTGTTTCTTTCCTCTTTAAATGTTGCAACAGTCTCATCGTCTCGCTCGCCAACGCGGAGAAGCGTTTTTTTTCCTGCAGCGGCTTAACACTCCGCAAAAGGACTAGACCGCAATCTGACCTGCCCCACGGGGTACTTTGTAGGCAGTTTTGCGTGGGATGCTCCGATTTTTCCCTTTGATCTGCTCTTTGGGCTGCTGTGCTGGTGCTAGCCTTTGTGTTCTTGGCCCTTTGTTTATATGCCTTGCGGGTAGGCTATAATGCTCTGCATATGCACTGCAACCCGTTTGAATTTGATTTTGCCTTTAATTCCTTTCATGCTACCCAACTGCTAGTACCTATGTAGCAAGTGATTATCGCCAGCAGTCCGCAGTAGGCACCTACCGCACTGTAGGATTCGCTTCCCTACCCCTTTTTTACCCCGGATTTTCTTTGGTTTGGGAGTTTTCCGCTTCTTTGACTGGGGCGGAAAGGAAGAGACACGCCATCTACCATAGTACATACTATTACTGTTTCCACTTCTCAGCACCTGCATGCCCAATACCGCACACTGAACCACCTTGGTGTTCTCAACAGTGTTGATCTTGCTCTAGAGGTTTCACTGCCAAGCATAAACCATCCATACACCTTGTCTATTTTTATTTTTTTATTTATCCCTGCGCCTAAACATGGGAGTCGTGTAACATCGTAGCTGCCACTTGTTAGCCGCTTGTGAGTCTTTCTTTCTCACATTTTCCACTGTGGTTGTCAGCAAAACTCAACGCCCCCCGTCGCTCTTGCCATTTGGGCATTTTTTGCGAGCCTTTTTCTCACCCTCCTCGGGAACTTTTTTTTTTTTTTTTTTTTTTTTTGCGAGCTCCTCGATTCTTATACACGCATGCGCACAGCCAGGCTGCATAGCTTGATTATCCTTCCTTTTCCGTTCTTGATGTTCTTCATGCACGGCACTATCATGCGCCTGACGTTCTTACTGGTTCTTGTTGTTTGATTGCCCGTTGACGCAGTGCTACCTACCATTCGCCTCTGCTGCTGTCGCGATTAACGATATCTAGCCTGGACCGAGATCATGTTTTACACCTGTGAGTGGAGTATCTACCCATCATGCAATGATTGCCTCTATTCCGAATACATCTCATCTCCTCCTCTCTCGCTCTGTTCCCCATGCCCAACTCGTCAATTGCATTTTTCATTTGTCCTTATCTTTTCCTATTTGCGCCACCCCAGATTGGCTAGCTAACAGGGGCGAAATGATACAGTCCAGGGTGTCAAGGGCAAGGCCGATCGGTCCCCTCAATCGTCATCGGACGGCAATCGGTCACAGGACGCAGCCGGCGGCAAGGCTGGCAAGAGTCTCCACGCCTGTCTCGAGTGCCAGCGCCGCAAGATCCGCTGCGACGGGAAGCAGCCTTGCAATCGCTGCCAGACTAGTCGATCGCGGAGGAGATGCGTGTATGAGCAGCATCGCCAGCGGCTTGTGCCGTCCAGGAAGTCAGTAGACTGCTCTCGCCTCGTTCTTATTCGAGTTGCTTTTACTCTTATCTTGACCGTGGAACTCTTCATTTATTTTTGAGTGCAATTTGAACATGTCCCTTCGGCTGCTAACTTCCATTATCTAGATCACTAGAGGAGATATCACGGAGTCTTGAAGAGTGCCGTTCTGTGCTGCGGCGCCTGTACCCTAACCATGAAGTCTCACAGCTTTTGTCACTGTCTCGCCAGGAGCTGCGGGATCTCCTGGACCAGCCAGTGCAGCAAGAGACTGTTGACGTCTCTGTAACACCCCCTTCTGTTGATGAGGCCCGGCATCCTCAAGAGCTTGAGAATATGCCCGCTCCAAAATCCGAGTGGGATGAGGAGCGGAGAGAAAAGGACCAGATGCCGGTTGAAGCCGACGATGTCAACGCTCTATCGTTCTCCATGGGCAAACAAGCGGCCTCGTATCTTGGTGCATCGTCCGTCAAAGTGGCCCTGACAGTCATGCTTCAAATCCAGCCACAACTACAGACTTTACTTGCGGCACAGTCATCTCCTGATGGCTCTAGTGATGAAAATGCTCGCACAAACAAGATACCACTCTTTCGTGCAGCTTCTAGATCCTCCAAAGCAAACCCTCCCATCCCATGGACTTACAAAGGGCAGGCTCTCATCGACGCTTATTTTAAGCGTGTTCATTGTCTGGCTCCCATGTTAGACGAGAAATCGTTTCGTAAGCATTATAATGAAGGTCGTCGATGCGACGCGCCGTGGCTCTCCCTGCTCAACATGGTCTTTGCCACAAGCAGCATCATGTCTACACCGTCAAGCAACCTGAGTCACATCAAATACTACAATCAAGCCATAGAGCACTTCCATCTCAGTGCCTTTGGAAGCAGCCACATCGAGACAATTCAAGCCCTAGCACTACTGGGGGGCTATTATCTCCACTACATCAACCGTCCAAACATGGCCAATGCCATCATTGGCGCCATCTTGCGAATGGCAACCGCTCTCGGTCTACATCGAGAGCCGCCGCCAGAAGAGCAGTCTGACACAGCGGTAATTGAGACGCGGCGACGCACTTGGTGGACGCTGTTTTGCCTCGATACTTGGGGAACTACCACTCTAGGCCGACCTTCGTTTGGGCGATGGGGGCCGGCAATCAATATCCAGCCTCCTAAGCTTATCACAGAGCAAGTATGGCTTGCCCTCTATACGTTATACCAACGCTTGCTTTTTTATACTCCATGTTGGCTAACAATCTCATTCAACAGGAAGAAGCCGACTCTGCACAGTATGCCGGCATCATGCCTCTACTAGAAAATATCAAATTCTGCAAAATCGCAACAAAGGTCCAAGACATGCTCGCAATGAACCCTCTACTAAATATGGAAGATCGCAGCCACTTGGACAGCCTTCTTGTCGACTGGTACAACAATCTTCCTTGGCTTCTTCGTTCCACGGAGCCCTGTGTAGAACCACTCCATCTTTCGCGAAGCATCATGATATGGCGGTATTGGAATTTGCGTATGCTGCTTTACCGCCCAGTACTTCTTACCCTAGCCTGCAAAACCCAGCCACCTTTTGAAGAACAAGACGTGGTTGCCGTGCAGACTTGCCAAAATGCTGCGCGGGAGACTATTGATAGCATATCAATGGGGTGGACACGGCAGCAAATGTCTGGGTGGAACGCCGTATGGTTCCTATATCAGGCTGCCATGATACCGCTGGTTAGTATCCTATGGCAACCTGACAATCCATCTGTCGTCCAGTGGCGCGCTCAAGTCGAGTCGATCCTCGACCTGTTTGAGGCAATGCAAGACTGGTCGCTTACGGCACGCCGCAGCCGAGACGTCGTCAGCCGTCTTCTGGAAGCCAGCTCTCAGATTTCCAATGCAAGACAAGGAGCTGGCCTTCACGGTCCCTCTCTTCAGAAAGGGGGGCCAAGCGGCGAAATAAGCGGGTTCTGGGGAAGCGAAGGGGCTGATGCCGCCCTTCCCAGCGGCTACGGCACCGGGGACATTGTCGATATGCTGGATCAAGACTGGCCGTGGGATATGGATGTTGATGGGCTGGCCTGGGGGCAGCAGATTCCTCTGCTGGAGGAAGATGGCAGCTACAGCGTCGACGACGGTTCCATGGGCGTGGATTATCTGTCGCTGGCAACTGCAGAAAGAGTTGAAAGCGATGCTTTGTCGCAACCTCCACAGCCGCCGCCCTAGAATCTTCTTAAAAAGCCAACGCTCTATTTCAACCACTTATCGAAGCAGAGTCTGCTCTTCTTCGCTCTACTATACCCGACCCGTTCTTCTTCTTCGCTTACTCTGTGGCAGTATTTTGCTCCAAGACGCTATATGCACTTTGCCTGGGGCGGGTTACTCCCGGTTTCTACCTCCGAGTCAAGTAAATAGCGGGGTCGTGGCGGCGTAAGACTCACTCAATTAGTCCCGCTCGACAGCACAGGCCTATCGTACTTGGAACTTGTATATAAAAAACAGAGGGCTACAAAGGGCTACGCCGGGAATTCTGCGAGGAAAAACATTCGCTCCAAGATTGTAATTAGCGCCTTCATTGTACAAGTCTACAGCGCAATTATTTCTAATCATACTTGCAGAGAAGAACAAGCAAAGGGTACAAGAAATGATGGCAGAGCAAGCCACCCAGGTCGTCGTCGCTTCGCACAACCCCGTCAAGATCTCAGCCGCAAGGGAAGGGTTCAGCGGCATGTTTCCCTCTCAGACATTCTCCTTTACTGGGCTCAGTGTGCCGTCCGGCGTTGCTGACCAGCCCATGACGGACGCGGAAACCCTGCAGGGAGCCAGGAACCGAGCTCGCAACGCCCGCGAAGCAAAGCCAGAGGCCGACTATTGGGTTGGCATCGAGGGCGGCGTGGACGACAGCGGAGATGCAATGGAAACATTTGCCTGGGTCGTCGTGCTGGGCAAGCATCTTGAACCAGCAGCCGAATCGGAGCGAATGGGCCGGGCTCGCACGGCAGCATTCTTCCAGCCGGAAGAAGTGGCGAGGTTGGTGCGCAGTGGCATGGAACTTGGACCAGCGGGCGATCAGGTGTTTGGCAGCGAAAACTCGAAGCAGCATAGCGGATCAATAGGTCTGCTGACTGGAGACTTGATCAATCGGTCGGCATACTATGTGCCAGCGGTCATTGGAGCGCTGATTCCATTCCGGAACTCGAATCTGACATTTACTCACTTTTGAGAAAAAAAAATGAGGCTCATGCAAATGAATGAAGACTACATACAGAGGGAAAGTGAAGACTGAGAAAGGGTCCCGATGATGAAGAGGCTACGGAGTATAAGTCCATATACAAGTTTGACTAAGACTAACGCTGGGTGACGGACTAGCCCAGCAGTCACCTAAAGAGAGATGTGGAAAGAATGCATAAGAGAGAAAGGAGCGAATTTTGCCTCACCAAATTACTACCATAACAAATTAACTGGATATCACTACAAGCTCAGCAATCCCCTGATGTATCTGAGAGCCAGTTTCATTTGCTATGACTGCTAGCCATGGCAAGCAGATCTTTCGCTGCTATATTCTAGAAAATTCTTCTTCACAATGGCCTCTCAAGCAAGTAGTCGCTCTTTACTGACTTTTAGCTCAGTTGACAGCCAGTAGGACATACTGACGGCAAATAGTTGCATGAAGCATGTGAGTCGCAGCAAAGAATCTTTGAGAAGCAATTCACTTACTCGTGCACGGTCAAATTCGGCCTTCTTAGCTGACTCGTTGGTACCCGAGTTATCTTCACTTTGTTTCAGCCACTCTTTGTCTTGCTTACTACTACTTTGTATTTCGAGTCTCTTTTGGCCACATTTTGCTACTAATGCAGCATCTGGAATGCTCGAGAAGACTGTAGCATATATATGGCGTCCACCAATCTCTATCCGGTCGTTCTTGTTCCCACGACTCGGGGTATCGCTATCAGGACAATTACTCCGAAAACGGCGGGCGTGTCTGCTGTTAAGCTGAGTGTAACGCCGCGTACTATTTCTAGCTGAGAAACAGAGTTTAGTTTTCATCCTTCAAGCCACCACGTGTTGGGGCTTGCTTCTCTGTTAGCTACTAAATGCTTTGGGGAAAGTTGGAAAAGCTGAAGGGGGAGGGGTGAGATTGAGATGCGATCATCACGATGTCTCCAGGCGGGTCGTATTGGTAGCAGCCCTACCATCATGAGACCGCCCTCGGGAAGGCCGCTCATCCCACGTGGTATGAAGAAGCCACAGCTGAAAGGCTTCTAGGTTCCTCAAGCCTCGAAAGAGAAGAGTTCGAATGTCTCCTCTTCTCTAGTTCAAGAGAAAGTGGCGCCACCAACGACACCAGGAGCTGAGGGGAGTATGAGCATAGCCATCCAAATCAGAAGCTTCATGTGTGATCATGCATCTAGGACACCCACTTCTGTGCAAAACGGGGCGCATTTTACCGCCTAAACTTCTGAACAAAAAGAGTCCTTCCGATTTCGGTATGGAGAAAGAAAAAGCTCCCTTCTTGAACATTCTAAGTGCAGCGCCTATGGGCTTCCAAGGCCTGGCATTGAACGTTTAGACGCGATAGCTAATGAGAGTTTGCAGTTCCTGCATATTCTCCTATCCCTCTTCACGCAGCTATACTTCAAGCTTTACTACTGTTGTCATTTACACCGCTGCTGCTGCTGTTACTGCTACGATATACTCCCTTCTTTTGCCGCTGTTAACTGCAGGTGATGTCACTTTGTCAAGAGAGCCTACTATTGGTGCAAAAGTCGAGATGCTGCTCGAAGACTTGGAGCGGCGAGGCTGAAGATGGAGAAAAAAGTTCCACGAATTTGATGCTAGGATCTTTAGCACGATTCTATTTTCGGAAATAGGGTTACGAGATGAACCAACAGACGAATAGCAGCGTGCAAGAGACATGTAGCTAAGAAGCTCTAGCTAATATAGGAAGTTGGCGGCGCCATGGCGAAGATGAACGCAGAACTAATATTAGATCGACTTGGAGGAGGTCAAGATGCCGACCAACAACACATGGCTGGACGCCGGCTTCTACAGCTTCCGGCATGTCGACTGGATAGTTCAAAATAGTGTCTGGTCTCTCAACTCTCTCAACCCAACTCACACACCACACCACAGGCACGCCGCAAATCACGCCGCACGCTACGGCAACAGCTACGCTACGCCATGTTTTCGTTACAAGGCTTGAAGATCAGCTCCTGTTGGGCGTCGATCAAGATGTTTATATTTCCAATTTGGGTGGCGCTCCGGTGGGCGATCCACGATCCACGATCCACAGGGTTTCTTACTGCTTTTGAACCACAGGCCGGGTGACGGCACGGAGCGCGGGGCACAGAGCACGGAGCAATGTGGGGAAGAGGAGAAGAAACATCCCTCAAAGACCGGAGAATGGACTGTTGAAAGCAAAGCTAAATGTTGAGTGTTTGTTACAGTATCATAAGGGAAACATGAAAGAAAGACGGGCGGGCGTTCAACCCAACAGAGCAAGGGTTTTCACTATAGACTTCAGCCTTCCGCAAGCAGCGCAGCATCCCCTAGCGTCGGGGCCGATTTAGCTCGTCCGAATCATCCAGCTTCATCCTGATTAGCGGTGCTAGCAAATGCTGTTGGTGGCGCTTTTTCTCAAGAGCTTTATCTCTCTCTTAGATTTTCAGGCGTGTGTCTTGTGCGCCACGGGCTGAAATCTGTGTCGAGATCGGACACGTGGCATGAGACGCCATGGTGAGATGTTTCCATTTGATGTTATCGCCAAAACAGTGGATATCGGAGAGTAGAGTTGAGACTACACGGAAGGCTATACGAGCTTGGGCGAGGCGCATCAGTTGACACTAGTCCTGGTCAATACAACACAGCTCACTTACTCACTTACAGACAGTCGTTTATGTACCAGGAACGGCAGTGTATGAGAGCTGTGTGAGTGAGTGCGGTCTCACCTGAGAGCTACGACACATCGTATGAGTCTCAGCTCGTCAGATCGATACGATTATATATCTTGCAATTTAAAGGACGTCCAGAAGATGAAGTGATGGAGAAGAAGGCATGTGTCTCTCAGCATCGTGCGGCAATTCATGTTCAAGGCTTCAGACTATGCTTACCGTCTCATGTCTCTTGGCTACAAGGAGCAGTGCAAAAGGCCCCCTCAGTCTGAAGCATCGTGAGCGAGAAGATGATGTGTTTTGTTGTCAAGTCATCTCACAATGATCATTTCACAAACAAAAGAGAGAGAGAGAAATTGGCCGAAACGAAATGTTCGTTCCGGGTTCTTTGTAAATTATCTATCTATCTACGAAAAAGAGCGTTCCTGTTCCGTCGTCCCTATCCCTAAAATCCCATTACAATCCCTTCATCCCAGTGATAATCCACCCCTAAAAACCAGTCCATGCAATCCAGTGTCCACCCCAAAGTCAGTCCGATGCAGCCCGTTGTCCTCCCCCGGTGTCCAATCCATTACTCATCCCAATTCCCCGTCCCATCCATCCATCCATCCATCCATTAATCCCTTCATCCCAATTTCCATCTCAATGCCCTTCCCCAGTACCCTATTCCATTGCCCTGTCCCGGTGTCCCCCCAATTACCCCTCATAGTTCCCAACCAGCCATCCAATCCCAGTCCAGTCCAGATTCCATCCTCGAGATCTTTCAGAAGATCTGGCTCCTAAGAAAAAAAGAAAGGAAAAAGAAGGAAACAAAGGAAAAGAAAGAAAGACAAAGAAAATAGAATGAAAATAGCTGACACAGCAGAGTGGTACTTGGCAAATCTCTGCCCGTGTCGCTATTGTTTTCCTCGGGGCCAGAAAGAGTCTTTCCTCCCCTCCACAAGGCATTGTCTTAGTGATCCGACGAGCTCTTTTCCCCTTGACTAAAAGGAGAGCTCCAGTCTCTCTCTCTCTCAAAGTTGCTGAGGGACCACGACAAGAGACCTAACTTGCGCGACACTGCACATCAAGCAAAAAGAAAGCGTGTCGGGGAAGAACACGGTTGCTATAGCAGCAGTATCGCGCAAGTTTCCCTGTTTTCTTGCCAGGTTGTGTTGCCTATCGTAGTTAATAGGCAACCGAGATACGTCGTACGGAAAAAGACGCTAAGAGAAGAAGAGAAACTCGATTTCCCTCGCCGACTCTTAGAAAAACGATTTCCGTGCGTACCCCTCGGCCTGCAGAGATGACAAAGTGTCACGCAGAACCGCCTGGCAATGGATCGAAGATGTTGACAGAAGAAATATTGCTTTTCTTCCGGCCACTTTGGAATGACATCTTCGATAGAAACCCCTGATAACCTGTTTCACCAAGAAGATGAACTGAAACCCCAGAAACACTGATTCATCAAGAAGATGAATCAAGAAAGAGTGTGGGAAGAGATTCACATCAAAAGAAAATCCAAGAAAGTCAATGCTCTCAACATAGAAAGTCTTCCCTGGTCTTCCAAGAGCCATGCCATGATGCGTATTTGCCTCTTGGAAGACCGTCTACCTTTTCAGGTAGATGAAACCCAGAGATGCCCGATTTGAAATGGTCAGAATGCTGGAAGTCGATGACTTGGACCAGTATTCGCTGAGGCATATTTGACAAGTCAACTACTTGCCGAGAATCCAGTCCCCCAAGAAAGCACAGATTGATGCCATGGCTAGCATTTGCTTCTTGGGGGAATGGTCTATCTTCGCAGATAGATACAGACCGAGTATTTCCTCAAGAAATCCCCCCTCCTTCGATTCGAGCGTTTTTTTATGGCATTTTTCCTTTTCAATCTTTTTTGGAAAGAGGCTTTTGTGAAGGTTTTCTTTGTTGGAGCTGTTGGAGCGTCTGTTGGAGCGTCTTGTTGGAGCGTCTATTTTTTTTGCGGTCCTCCCCCAGTTCCGCATGGCCATGGCGATGCCAGTCGTGGGGGAGTTTTGCAATCAGAGGGACTGTTACCAATGAAATTGTTAGGTAGAGTCTTTGAGTATCAAGATGGTGTTTGGTTCACTTACTTGCTGTTTTAATTTATGAGGAGCAGATGACGAAAAGGAAATGCCAAAAATGGCTCGGAACGGACATAGTCCCCCCGGGGGGGCTACCTTTCATGATAGTATCAGTAAGGGCTCATGGAGGGAGAGAAAGGCAGAAGATGTTGGTACTTACCTTTGAAGAGCCCCCCAGGGATTGGGATCACTTGGAAATAGGTCAGAAGCTCGACGAAGTGTGCCGGTGAGGGCCGGAGGTGGAAATGATG